AAATACGCGCGATGTGCATAAAATTAAGGTCCTTGTATATGACAGTAATAAAAGAATATAAGAATAATAAACGTAAGAGTTAACCGTGTATTTGTATCATTTTGATTACTGAAACAGATAAAGGAACAGATGCTAACTTTATACAACGAATGATCCGACTACGATCGTGTTATTTGTGTTATATATATATTGAGAAAAAACTTTAATGATAATATAACTTCCTTATTTCGTATTTCCATCTTGTTTGCTATTCTTTTCAATTTATATTCTAATTTGATATCCTATCGAATCTTGCACGATCCTCATTCTTTTTATATTTTGCAGCAGAAATTCGGAAATTGATATTCGATGACGCTTCTTCTTCTACGCGTCAAATATAATAAAAGATAAACTTTAAATAAATTTTAATCACGATAGTTGTCGTTGCAACGATTGGAGAAATTCCCAATATGTAACCCCCGGTTAATTTTCCCGTATGTTCACTTTGCAGCTTATTACGCCAGAGAAGAAGCTTTATAATTAATTGGCCTATGAGAGCAATCTGCACGACAATCTCTATAGCGAGCCACCGCTGGCTTTCCTTATACAGCGTTTAAGGCACGTGCTTTTCACTTCGGTGCAAGATAATCTCTCCATCGTTTAGAGCCTTCTTATGGTGACTCCGAGTTACTTCGGCGAGTAATATCCTCCCGCAAACTTTTGCCAACTCCGAAGACTCGGCATCATGATCGCCTGCTACATCTGATTACTGTTCTACGGAAGAAGTTCCGGTTTCTGTCTCTCTCTCTCTCTCTCTCTCTCTCTCTTTCTCTGATGTGAGCTCCCTTGGCATTTCTTCATAATATATTTAATGATTTCAAGAAAGATTATTTCTAAGAGAGATTACACGTGTTGTCTAAACAAAATTAGGATTGATAGATGGATGTTTGAGAAAAATATGATTATGTCTTAATTTACACGAAAATAAGTAGTTATTGACAAAAATGATTAAAAACCAAAATAAATATTTCCATACAAATAATTAACATTTCAATATTATTTCATATTTTCACAAAATAGAATTTAATAATATATTACTAATATAGTATTAATAGTCTACTGCTAAAGATACTCTCTAAATTTTCACGATGTGATACGTCAATTGGAACAGGAAGTAAAAAGGAAATATGAGCGAATAAGCTGTCGGGAAATGATTGTGTCAACACAGTGCCTCTATAAATCCGAGTACAGTCGTCATTTATAACGTGTCTATGTCCGGTGAATGTTGCTCTTTTGTGGTTACTCGTTCGCGGCAGTAAATATGTTGCGTGGAAATTTATGGCTCGGCACGATGCCGTTTCACGCGTGCCATTATAACGTCTTCGTTTGGGAATGATTTAAGCAACGTTCGATATTATTCGTCATGAACGTTGTGTGTTCATGAACATTCGCCGATTCGTGCTTGGCGCGTAATATTGGAAAATTGAAGTGAAAATTGCTCTCGCGCGATTTCACAGATCTTTTCGCGATTAATTAATACACGCTAATACACAGATCTTTCACTCTTCATTAACTTTTTGACGCATTATCCTCATTACAAAAATACTATACTATGAATAGAAAATAATGATTTGCTCTATAAAACATTTTATGTATATTTAGAATTCAAATTGGAGACTTTTCTACAAAAATAAAATCTTTTAATTATAAAAATGTTTTTTAAGATTCGATTTATATATAGAAAATCTCTTTAATTATTAACAAATTTTGTAAAAAATATTATGTGAAATTAGTGCGCAGTATTTAAGATACTAATGACGGACCATGTCTTCCAAGTTCTTTGGCGAATAATCAATCGCTATCGTAGAAAGAGGGATAAAGAGTGCGATAGAGAAAAAAGAAGAGGGTGAAAGAAGAAGAGGCTCCCTTTGGTTAACCGCCGGCATGCGACAACAACAATCGTTCGTAGTTATCGCGACGCCAAAAATGCCGGTGCCTAAGGTATTAATGTCGAGAAAATGCAAGACGCGAGGCCGAGGAAATCTGAGGTGGGAGACGGGAGAGAAAAAGGAGAGAAAAAAGGAGAAGAGACGCGACGGACGAGCGGCAAAGAGAGTTGCGCGTCTTGCGGCAGGAGAGAGGCAGTAATTGCGTTATTAACTTAAAAGTGAGGTTCTCTCCATAGAGAGGACTGGGGGCGAGAAAGGGAGGAAAAGGAAAAGAGAGAGAGAGAGAGAGAGAAAGAGCGCGCGACATCAGAGTGTTGCCGGTCGGTCTTTGCCGCAGAGCCCGCGCGTATTTTTTCGCGGCACCGTATATACCTGCGAAACGACAGTGCGGATACGGAATTGCAGGTGAACAACCACCACCGCGGATCCACCCGTGGCGGCACGCGATGAGAGACCGTGGATAAGATATCGTTACTGCTATTACGGCGGATCGACAGTCAGTCATCAGATTGGCCGGCGTTAAAAAGTAATAGAACATTTTTCTTTTGAGAAAATAATCGACTTGACTAAAGTGAGAGATTTCTAGATTCAAATTACATGATATTTACGTAAATGATTTTAACTATAAACTATTTTAATAACGAGATAAAATATCTATATGAATTTGCAGATGAATATTAAACATTGTCTTTCTCAATAAAATCCAGTGGTGATTTTTAATGAAATGTGTCAAATGTTTTAAACGACACCCCTATTTAATTATATTTAATTATCAAAATTAATCGTGTAATAAATAATTAATGATATGAATATAGTATGAAATAAATCAGTTGGGCTGTGCAATTTTCCCTCGCGTGCGCGAAGTTAAACAGATGTGAGAAATATCTAGTTAATCCTCCGCTGCGAACAAATAGCCACATCGCAGGGAATGCTCGCGAGCAATTCCGTACTATCATTTCGCAGATATCTGCGCGTGCAAAAATCATAAAATAGAGAGAGAGAGAGAGAGAGAGAGAGAGAGAGAAATGCGGCATTCTAATCTCGTTCAATAAAATGTAAGATGATTGCACATCTCACTTGCGAAAGGACAGAGAGAGGGGATGTAATTTTATTACATCTTGACGTCAAGAAGCTTCAGGCACATATAGTAAAGATATAGTATAATATATCTTATATATTACAAAGAATATAAATGCCAAATTTAATACATATAACAGCGCGCATCAGAAATCGATAAATTGCATTTCTACATAATAATAAAATGTAAGAAGAAATAAATTATATGTTCAAAATTTCGAACTTATTCATGGTTTTCGAATCATTTATACGATATGTTATGCGCAATCAATATTTACTATTATGTCATTGTTTCGTTTAGTTTTAGATATAAATGTGTGAATAATAAAATAATATGCGAGAATTTTTTTTTATAATTAATGCAAAAGCATGGCTGAAATTGCACAGAATCGCGTATATATTCGTCTTTCGTTACGATCGGCTTTACACCATGATTACATCAGGTAGGAAAGCATCATGGGCCCGCTACTTAATAGAGACGTAATGCCATACACAGTCACGTTACACAAAGCAGGGGGTTGAGTCACGACCGATCAACGTTACACGCGGCAAGCTCAATCTGCGAGCTCTTTTTTGTCTATTGATAAGTCAATCAATCGAGATTGTTCGTCTCTACTTAAACTTTATAAATATTACAGAGATTTATTTTAGTTTCTAATTAGTGAAATGTAATAAATACTGTAATATTTGCATTTTAATATCGCGAATAATATTTATAGAAGATTAAATATTTTTAATTCTGCATTAATTTAATTCTTTAATTTCCAATGTTAAATGATTTTTTGTATTTAAATCTACCGTAAAAGTTTTGCTAAAGAAGATATATCAAAGAATGTAGAGACAGAGAGGGTGGGGGAGGGGGGAGAGGGGGAAGCTTTCGGATTCGAGACGACAGAGAGACACGCGGCAAAATTACGTCCCGAACATGCTTGACCGCAAATACTCCGGCGACTAATCCGACCGATCGCCGTCGATCTACGCATCCTTACCTGCCTCAGGTGCGCCGCATGTAACGCAACGTATCATTGGCTGAACGCGGAGCGAGACCAATATGGTGGTCGGACCCGTTGGAATCGGCAATCTACGCCGCGGTCATACCAGGATCGTACACCAGAATCAACATTGCAATGGCCGATGTGATTCTTGCAAAAATATTTCTATTTTTTTTTCTAGGTTTTACTATAACGGCAATTAGAGTAACATAATATCATTGTCCAAGGATCGCACCGAATAATAAAGTATATGAATTTTTTTGTTATAAACACGTAACGCGAGGAGGACGAAGAACTAAGAAATATGCGATTTTGGACAAATTCAGCATAATTATTGGATGAAAATATAGAGATTTCTCAAGGGTTTTAATGTAGATTTTTATTCGTGGCGTCTCTGAAGAGTAGCCGTATTTTATATATACTAAGTTATGCGTCTCACGCGTTGTACATTATTTTCTGGCTTTTGTCCGGCGAATTTAATGCCCGCGCCAGCCGAAATATCTCGGAAGGGAATCAAAGTATATACCGTGTCTCTTTCGTTGTATACGGACTTGAAGGACGCGCGCACTCCGCCGCGCGTATATAAGTGCCTTATGTTCCCACGCTGGAGCAGCCTCGAGGGCTTCCCATTCCGCTATCGGCTCCTCACATTGCCCGGTATCATGTAGGTATGTATGTAACCTTCTCGTACTTGAGGAGAAGGCGTATGTACAGGGTGTACCGGTGAAACATATTGGGCCGTGGTTTCGTGAGGCGAATTAACAACATCGGGGAGAAAAAGAGACGGTCGAGAGAGAAAAATGTCCGCGCGCATCGAAAATAACTTTCGTAAGTTCCGGACTATTGTAATCGGGCTTAACTGATTCGAAAAGAAAGTGGTACGGAGAAATTATAGAATAAATTAAAAATACATCAAACGACGGGTACGTGTTGTTCGATTGTCACATGTGAAAGAAACACGTTGAAGGAATTTTAACGTTATTGAATTAAGCCTGATGCTCACCTTGCAAACCTCTCTTTATCCTGGACGTTATCGTCGTCCAGTCTCCTATATTTACACCCACTCGGATCATCCTCGTCAGATCTGTAAAATAAATCAAAGACAACATTTAATCGTACCAGTTCGTGCAATCATGGGTCTTTATCTGTCGAATATTATGACATAATCAATGTCATAATATAAAGAGACACAGTCAATTGTTTCGCTTGATAAATTTATCTAATATTTAATTATCATTTAAACGCCTCTCATAAAACGACATCGCGTGATAATTGATAATAAAATAAAAAATGTGTTCTCGCGATACCAATCTGAGGATAAATAATAGTGGATAGGCAAGTTCAGCACCCGAAAGGAACAAACGATAAAAATTCCGCGTGCGTTGCGTCACCGATATATAAAATATAATCGCTTCCGGATTACCAAACGTGACCGTACGATCCAAAATTGGTCGTCACAGGATCATCGTCGGCTTTCCAACCTCCCTCCCTGCCCCTCCAAATCTTGATGGTATAAGCGACGACGAGTTTCTCGTAAGATATTCATGACCCATCGTCATCTCATTCATTTCGATAGTCACTAGCTTTTCCATTCAAATCATTTCACGATTAGCATAATTTTACAAAGAGAAAAGTAAAATCGATTATTACTCTGTTATATTATGACACATCATATATTTTCTTGAATGGAACCAGTATATCACTCACTGATAAGCAATGATTTCAGTTATAAATACAGTGAAATTTTACTGACATGAGAAGAATCAGTTAATAACAGTATCTGATTTTTCAGTGAAATGAAATTTTACTGCCATAATCAGTGGAACACATAAGACGGAGGAGCAAAGTGTGAGTATTTTCACTGGAGATCGGTGAAATATTCACTAATCTTTAATGAAATCTTATCACTATTTTAATCAATAACATTTTAATTAATTCAGTATTATAAGAGGAATAGGAAAATATCAGACACGTTTCTCTTAATTTTTAATATTACATATACAATATAAAAAACTTTTATAATAAAAATATATATTAAGCAATTATTTATCGGGTTCTGCATCTTTAAACTTGAAAAAGGCTTAAACAAGTTATATGATTATCGCGCCGATATCGATCGATTGCGCTGAATTCGCCGCAGGAGCCCGAGAAGCGAGAACGTTTAAGAGCCGCTATCGGAGAAGAATGAAAGAGAGAGAGAGAAGGGATACAGCACCGTAAATCCGTCACCGATCGTCCCATTACCGTAGATGAGCTTGTATACCGTCTCTACTAAGCGGCATTAAGCGCGATAGAAAATTATGCTCTCATTGCGAGAGCGCAGGCTCGCGCTCAGAAATCCGACCGATCGTCATTCTATATTGCACAGCGTTCGCGCGGGTGATGTACGATTCTGACCCTGAGCAAAAAAGCGGAACCCCCTTACTTCACCGGGATCCCTTGCTCTTCCCCCCCCCCCTCCTCCGCCCTGCCCCTCCGCTTCGCC